ATGAGTGTGTTAAGGGTGTATGTGTGTGTGTGTGTGTCACTCTGAGTGTATGTGTCTGTTATGTCTGTGCGACACTCTGTGTGTGTGTCTGTGTGTGAATATATATATATATATCTGTGTGTGTGGATGTTACTCACGAGGCATGACGGCCTGATCTGAGATCTGCTCTCTTGTTCTCCTCTGCTGGAGCCTCAACTGGAGGACTGGAGGAACAGAAGAGCAGGAGATCAGCAGGAGGACACACACACACGCACACACACACGTGCACACACACACACAGACTGAACACACAGACACAGTCTGAACATACACATACTGATCACACACAGATACAGACAGCGTGTGTGTGTATGTGTATGTTTGTGTGTGTGTGTGTGTGTGTGCGCGCTGGTCTCCTCCTGCGTTTATGAGCGCGTCCCTACAGGACCACACACTGACGCAGGGTTTGTTTAAAGGCAGGAGTCGTGTTTATCAGAGCTCCACATCCTGTTTTAAGAAGTATTTGTGGCTCGCTTGCTTCATGTTGTCTTTGTTTTGGGTGGTGTGTGTCTCATCATGACAGCATCACGGTACGAGCACACAGTCGTCTGTGTGAAACCCACTGTGCAGAGGAACGGCTCCCCTTTAATAGCAGATACACTTAATAAATCTGCTCATCATATTTACTTCAACAGCAAATGACTCACTGAATCATTCACTGCAGCAATAGTACTCAGCGAGTCATAGTCATTGAATCATTCGCTCAAACGATTCAATCATTCAAGAACAAATCAAGCAGCTGTATCTCAATCACTCGACTGATTCAAAACAATGATTCATTGATTATTCAAACTGATTCACAAGTTTATTCAGGAAAAAAACAAGTAAATGTTTTATGAGTGATTCACTGAATCAATTGTTAAAGCAATAGTAATCAGTGAGTCATTTAAGTACTACTCTGTTAATTGGTATTCAAACCACTGATTCAGACATAAAGCAAGCCATGGAATCATTCCATCAAGTGATTCATTCATCCGAGAATGAAACAAGCAGCTGTCTTTACGAGAGTCTCATTTAATCATTCATTCAACTGATTCATTCAAAACACTGATTCATTCATGATTCAATTTGATTCATACAACTATTGATGATGGAAAAAAGTCAACTTTTAATGAGTGATTCCCTGAATCATTCAATTGAGCAATTAGTTCAAATGCAGATTACTGTAGAATCATTGAGTCTTCATGAGTGAATCACTGAATCATTTACTCAAAATGTTCAGTCGTCCTCTGAGATCATACTTCTGCTATTTTTCCAGTAGTATCTGGATGCAAGCTGAGACTGTCTCTGTCAGAGATGCAGTGTCAGACTCAATGGAGTGAGTGACATCACTGTGAGGGGCGGGGTTAGGGGTGGGGATAGGCGAGTCCATTAAACAGCATTGCATGCAGCTCAGATTGCATCTGCACCAGGTCTGCATCCAGACGCTCCCGCTGTTTCTGCAAACATCTGCTTTAGTTTGTTCACCCAAACCTGCCTCTGCTGCCAGCGGCTGTCCTACACTGCAGATATGTGGACACACCGGAGAAATCTGATGAGGTGGAGCTCTGGCACATCACACACAGTTACACACTGCAAAACAATCATGTCTTGTTTCTAGTCCAAATATAAACATATTCTGAAATCAGGAATAGCTTTCTATACGAGCTGAACATATAGTCCAGTTTTCAGAAACAATGAGTCAAAAAATCATCAGCCCAGAAGAGGATTTTCATCATAGGAGCCCTTTCAGTAGTTAAAAAACGTTGATTTACGTCTGAGGACAAACAGGAGAAATGCAATGATGTGGAGCTCTGGCACAGCAGACAAACAATACTGGCAGAGCAACACCGTCAGCTCACACAGTCACCGCCAGACTATTCCTGCCCAATCTGGAGCGATCCACATCAATAATGCAGAAACAGCCAAACAGGTGAGCTCAGCAAAACCCCACGGGGAGGAAAGCCTTCTGGCAGCGGGAGGAACCAGCACACGTCCCCACAACACATGACGAGCGTCAAGATTACAGCGACACACACTTTAGCACACAACATGACAAACACACTTACAGCTGACCTGTTCTGCTGCTTTCTACAAGCTGTGCATGCGTCTCTACTGTGTGTGTGTGTGTGTGTGTGTGTGTGTGTGTGTGTGTGTGTGTGTGTGTGTGTGTGTGTGTGTGTGTGTGTGTGTGTGTGTGTGTTTGAGCTGGGAACAGCACACAGATAATGTTCTCCAGCTCTCTGAAACTGACCCTTTCAGGCTTTGATCCTCATTGTGGTGTTTTGGTGGCTGTCGCTTTAAATGCAAATGAGATTGTGCTCTTTTCAGAAGAGGGCGGAGCTACAGACGGCTGTGCTAATTAGAACACATTTAATTACTGTTGAGCATTAGAGGCTGCTGGAGATATTCACACACTGCTGACATACACACACACACACACACACACACACACAAACATCCAGAATCAGAACCAGATGAGCTGACGCACAGCACCAGAATAGCAGCTCTTCAGGAACACATAGAAACACCCTGTACCCTGCGTACCTCGTCCTAATGACTGCTGTTGTGTATTAATTATGGAATTGCGCAATGCTACGCTGGAATATTGTTACACAGCGCAGTGAAATACTCAATTCTGATTGGTCGATCACAGCACAAGCAGTGTTGGGTGCAATGAGTTACAAAACAGCTATTACTGTGATTAAATTAAACAGGCGAATAGCGATTCGTTCATTGATAATTAGCTTTTTACAGTGTGGAACTCTCAATCCTGATTGGTTATTCATGCCGAGCAACGTTGAGTTACACAGTAAAGACTATTAAATTAAAAAGACATGGTGAGAATATTTCTGTAGCACATTTCATACACAAGCGGGCGGCACGGTGGCTCAGAGTCACCACGGTGGCCTCACAGCAAGAAGCTCTCTGGTTTGAGTCTCGGCTGGGTCAGTTGGTGTTTCTGTGTGGAGTTTGCATGTTCTCCCCGTGTTGGTGTGGGTTTCCTCGAGGGTGCTCCAGTTCAAACACATGCACTAAGGGGAACTGATCAACTAAACTGGCCGTAGTGCATGAGTGTGTGTGTGTGTGAATGAGTGTGTATGGGTGTTTCCCAGTACTGGGTTGCAGATGTAAGGGCATCCACTGTGTAAAACATATGCCAGAATAGTAGGCGGTTCATTACGCTGTGGCGACCCCTGATGAATAAAGGGACTAAGCTGAAGGAGAATGAATGAATGAATGAATGAATGAATCCTGCATGGTTCACATGCCTCATTTTAATATCTGCTTTACTCGTTTAAAGTTCATTAAAAGCTTGCTTTAGACAGTGTGTTATGCTGGATTCTGATCGGTCAGTCAGAATATCCCCTGCGCTGCGCTGAACCTGCGGTGCTTGACTCTGTGGTGAGCGGCGGCTGGATGTACATTAAATGCGTTTCGTCTGCGCTCTCTGTTTGTGTCCATAAAGATGTGTTATTGATGTTGTGTAACTCTATTAAAGCAGATGTCAGAGGACTGAACTTTAAAGTGAGCTGCGCTGGCTGGAAATAGCAGAGCTGTAATCTTGACATGACACAGACAACAGTGACACACTCGCACACACACACACACACACACACACACACACACACACACACACACACATACAGAGAGAGAGAGAGAGACAGAGAGACAGAGTTTGTGTCACCCAGGGCCGGAGTGCACTGTAAAAAATAAAAAGTTGAGTAAACTTAAAATTTTAAAGCAACCGGCTGCAAAGAAATTTTGAGTTTACTCAACTTCAGTGGTTGAAGTTGTGCCAAATAATTTTTTTAAGTTGACTGAAATGGCTGGTTTAAGTCATGACAACTTTCAAGCCTAAGTTCATCTAACTTGTCATTATGAGTTTGCCTAAAATTAAACAGGGGTTGAGTAAACTGTAATAAATGAGTTGGCACAACTTAACAGAAGTTCAGTTAACTCAAAGCTGTGCAGCTGGTTGCCTTAATTTTTTAAGTTGATTTAATCTTTATCTTTTAATTCATAATTTTATGGAAATCTTATATCTGCGCTTCTCAAACAAATACCTGTATGACTCTGAGTATGAAGTTAAGAGATTACAAAACACACTATAAAACACAATATCAAAGAATATATTTATTGACAATTCTGCAAACAGCTTTCTGTCCAAATGAAATGTACTGCAGTCCAGAGAAGGAAAAGAGGCAACAAAAAGGTAAATCCTCAAATCCTATATTGCCTTTTAAGTGCTCGAGTTAAGCAAAATAAATATTTAAAAAGCTTGCACTATCAACATTTTTTTCAAAGTGCGAGAGTAATTAGTTTTGTCACGATATTTTAATTGTGTTACCCATCAGTTCTATAATTTTAAAAACGTCCATTTCCTGCTAACATTTGAGCGTTGTTGACCATGTTTTAAACACTGTTATATTGCCATTGTGTTCACATGCTCAACAGAAAACACTGATTGGGCGTGAAGATCATCAGTTCACCAAACTCACTGCTGTTTACTGAGTGTAACCACAGACACAGGGACACTTAAGAATTTCACATTGATCAACTGGTCTGTGTATAAGCTGATACAAGTGTTACGCTGATGGATCGACTATGCGATGTTTTGAAACACTCCAGTTTGTGTGTGTGTGTGTGTGTGTGTGTGTGTGTATCTGTGTTTGCACTCCATGAACATCAGTGATGAGCAGTGAAATGGTGAACTTCTCAGCCAATCACAGTCATTTATGTTGAGCGCTTGAACACAACAGCCAATCAATCAATTGGTGGGAAACGGATGTTTTTAAAATTTGAAAATGTAAAATCAAAACTGAATTTAAGTTTCGTGACAACACCAAGAGTAACACAATTTCAGTGTACAAACCAATGCATTTTGTTTTTGAAAGACTGGACTCTTGCTGAGCACTGAGGATCAAGGCCAATAAACACTTTCTGAATAGTTTCAAAGATGTGTTTCAGTTCTTTGGGGTAGTTCATAATGAGGAAATTAATCAAACCAAAGAGGAGAACAACAGCTGTCGGAAGATCTTTTCCAGCACGATTTGCTCTTCCAGAACCACAGACAGGCACCTTACATTTAGGTTGGTCTGAAGAGTGGCAACATCATCTTCAACAGTGCTAAGGATGTCCATCTCCATCTCTTTTGTGCAAATATCTTCCGGCTCTGTGTCCTGCAGTAAAAAGAAACATAAAAAGAGGATGAAAAACTATTTTTACTGCTAAATCACAAACATCTGCAAAAAGCAAGGTAAAAAAAAGCAAAGGCAAAGCAACTTAATTTGGAAACTGAAGGTAGTAATGTCAGTAACACAGTCATTTATATACCTTCTATTTATAAAACTTTTCAGGTAACACTTTTATAATAATGAATCATTTATTAAGCATTAGCAAATAGTGAATTGATTATCCATTAAGCATCAACTCTACATGAATAAACATTAGTAAGCTATTTAAGTACTAGTATCTAATAAATAAGTACTAGTATCTATTAATTAGGTAGTAGCATCTCAGTAATAGGTACTAGTACCTAATGATTAACTACTAGTAGATAAAAATATGCACTAGTCACAGCTGGAATACATACTAGTCAAAACTGAATAGTTGATATCTCAATTAGAGATCCCATAGAAATGAATGGGAAAAATTTTAATTCATTACGAGTAACAACAGAATAGTTACTAGTCACTATTAAAATAAGTACTAGTAACTAATAAATAAGAACTAGTATCTATTTAATAAGTACTAGTAACTAATAAATAAGTACTAGTAACTATCAAATAAGTACTAGTAACTAATAAATAAGAACTAGTATCTAATAAATAAGAACTAGTATCTAATAAATAAGTACTAGTAACTAATAAATAAGAACTAGTAACTAATAAATAAGTACTAGTATCTAATAAATAAGTACTAGTAACTATCAAATAAGTACTAGTAACTAATAAATAAGTACTAGTAACTAATAAATAAGTACTAGTAACTATCAAATAAGTACTAGTAACTAATAAATAAGAACTAGTATCTAATAAATAAGAACTAGTAACTAATAAATAAGTACTAGTAATTAATAAATAAGTACTAGTAACTAATAAATAAGTACTAGTAACTAATAAATAAGTACTAGTAACTATCAAATAAGTACTAGTAACTAATAAATAAGAACTAGTAACTAATAAATAAGTACTAGTAACTAATAAATAAGTACTAGTAACTAATAAATAAGTACTAGTAACTATCAAATAAGTACTAGTAACTAATAAATAAGAACTAGTATCTAATAAATAAGAACTAGTAACTAATAAATAAGTACTAGTAATTAATAAATAAGTACTAGTAACTAATAAATAAGTACTAGTAACTAGTAAATAAGTACTAGTATCTAATAAATAAGTACTAGTAACTAGTAAATAAGTACTAGTATCTAATAAATAAGTACTAGTAACTAATAAATAAGTACTAGTAACTAATAAATAAGTACTAGTAGCTAATAAATAAGTACTAGTAACTAATAAATAAGTACTAGTACTTAATGGAAAAGATACTAGTATCTAAAATATAAGTACTAGTAACAAGAAAATAGATACTAGTATGGGCTATAGAATAAAAGTTAACACAGCTTGCCATAGGTCATCAGCTATTGTCACATTAAACCAGATGCTCAGACCCTGAGAGATGACAGGTGGCACCACTTTACAATTGAAGGGCATTAATTATGGTTATTCACAGGTTAGTCATTTTGATCAGAAATTCCCAACATGTTTTAATTATTAAAAATGAAATTTGCTTTATAATTATTGTTGCAGCACCTGTTTTCACTCCCTGGTCAGCCGGACTCAGTCATGGTTGTTCTACTAAAGACTAAGAGATGAAAATGTAGCATCCTTTACAGAGGTGAAAACAGTGCTACAAACTTTTCTTTTAGGGAACAAACTGTTTTGTAACTTCAAAGATTAATTACCTGCATGAATTCCAATATTGCACACAAAAAGAGAAACTCCATGGTAAACTCCATAAAGTTTAATATGCCCCCCTTTAATCAGTGATATGATTGAATGCTAAATAATTACTTGATTGTCCAGTTGGTCCAGGGCGGTCCTTATCATCTCTCCATATCGCCCACCACATGATCCATAAAACTTGATAGCGTATTCATCCGAAAAAGAGAAGGTATCTTTGAGGTTGGTTTGAGTAATCCTGTAAAACTCAGCATAGACCTACAAACAGACCATAAAAAATGAATAGTATGAATTGTGAACAAGGGTTATACATTTTGAAATAAATAATCTCAAATGCAAACTTGCCAAAACTCCCAAAAACATGCAGGCCACTGTTTTCGGACATCAGCTACAGGAGGATAAAAAAATCAAATAGTCAGTAACTGCAGCAGACTGTTAATGTGCTCATGTCAAATGTGATTTTAATGCACCTACAGTCTTTAAAGTGCAGAAGCAGTCTGCGAACAAACAAGGCTGCTGCCAGGATGCTCCTTGATAGCGATGTAGTGTGTAGTGTAACTTCTCAGCTACTGTTTACAAATTTGCAAAACTTACACTGCATTCCAAACCTATAAAAAAGTAAATAAAAATGTAACATTGCAGGTCAAATTGTTTTCATAAATTAAACTGATGTTTTTAAAAAGCACAATATAAAATAAATATTGCAAACATAAAAAGAGAAGATTTAAATAATACATACATACATGTTACTTAACTCATAAATGGTTAATGTATGCCAAATAAATAATCATAAACACCACAAGCTCCTGGAATACTATATGTACACTACTAGTGACTGTATATTTAAAGTGGTGTGCTAAATATTATTTTGAAGTGGTTTTAATGTTATCGCATTGCTGTTTTAATACAGACACAACAGGGTTAACAATACAGTGGTGACCGGCCGCTCAGATATGTCTGTTTGCAACAACAATATTTCACTACATTTCCCTCCAGTTTAAGAAGCAAATTAACGTTAAACAGTCCTTCAAATGAAGCACACTTCACAGGTGGCTAGCTTGTTAGCCTGAGCTTGTCAGAAATGATCTTCACACGATGTAACTTAGTTTTTTGGGAACATAACATTACATTTTACTTTAGATTTGCACGCTATTTAGATTAATTTTGATAATAAAGCTAAAACAAAGCTTACCTGAATCAGGAGATGGCAGCTGCTGCTGGTGAGAGGACACCTCGTGCAAAATGGCACCCGAAGACAGACTGAGCATGTGCAAAGACGGGAAGTAGATGATCCAGTGAAGAACTCAAAATGTAAAGTCTGCTCAACTTAAGTATTTACTTTCATTGAACAAACCAGTTTTAAACCTTCAGTTAACTCATTTTAAAAGTAAACTCAACACTGAGCTCAAAATATGTCCACCCAACTTACAATTTTGATTTGAGTTAGCAATTTGCAAGTTGGATTTTTTACAGAGTGGGACTCCTTTTCAGCGCTGGAGTTTCAAGCCTCAGACCGGCCCACCTCAGTTCACCACTGACTATATTGAAATAAGGTCATTCCAATTCAGTTTCTAATGACACTATCACGTCTTTTTTTGAGAAAACAGCTGCTTTAGAACTTCAAATGTTCAACAACCCTAACAGTATTATATGTCTTAACAATAAAAATATTAAAAAGTATACTCAGACGAGGATTAAACCCGGGGCTGGCGGCGTCATAATCTAACCTCTGTACCACAACAGTTGTATAATGCAAGGTGACTCTGAATGATATCATCATTAACCTGCAGGCTGGTTATATATAATAAGAGCAGAGCTGTGGTAAAATAATGAATAAGAAGACTGTGGTCAAGTAAATAAATTAATTAATTTAAAAAGTGTGACTGCTGAGAGCAACAGATTCTGGAGCTAGGGACACCGGCCCTCGCGGCCAAAAAACGGACCGGCCCACCTGGAATTCTCCCGGTCCTCCCGATTAGCCAATCCGGGCCTGGTGTCACCTGAATGCTCGTGTGATCATGCCATCCTGCTCTGTGCTTTTTTAATACAATACTGAATCACCATTACAGAGTTTTGATGACTTCTCTGCAGTTTACTCACACTGATCTCTCACACGCATCTCTAATTAATATTAATTTAATTTAATTAAAGCTTACTGGTATCCGCTGCTGACCACGCTGCTCTTACTCTCAGTTTCTGTCTGGTTTCTAGTCTAAATATCTACAAATATCAAGAAGCACTGTCTTGTTTTCAGAAATGGAGTGAGATTTTCCTTAAAACTAGAAAATGAATCCCCCTAAATGACAAGCTGAGATGTGAATCAGAGTGAGTGAACAGGTTGAGTGTGTCTGTAATCCTGATGATGAGCTGAACGACAGAAGATGAATAAATGACAAAAGGTAATAATAAATGAACGAGGTAAGATGTGTGTTTCTGTCCAAACGGGTTATGTAATGTGTGTGTGTGTGTGTGTGTGTGTGTGTGTGTGTGTGTGTGTGTGTGTGTGTGTGTGTGTGTGTGTGTGTGTGTGTGTGTGTGTGTGTGTGTGTGTGTTTTCAATTTTCACTCTGACTTCCGTTTTCCTCATTGGGACCAAAAACGTCCCCATGAGGTCAAAATGTTCTGGTTTTGCTATACTTATGGGAACATTTGAATCTCACAAATTTCAGGAATGCAAGTTACACACACACACACACACACACACACACACACACATTTTGTGCGACTGAAGCTGGATGAGAAATTAGCACATCAGTAACGTCCTCATAATTCACGTTCTGCTGTAACACCCGTCATAGACATCACACTATACAAGTGTGTGTCCTGATATGTCACACACACACACACACACACACACACACACACACACACTGCATGACGTCTGCGCGTCCCCTGAGTAAACGCTCATTTCCCTTCACTCGAGGAAGAGCCCAATTTTGTCAGTAATTTGGAGCTGAAAGTCATTACTGCCAGAGCAGACGCTGAGAAGCCAAACCCAGCGCAGAGGAGAACTG